TTTCCAGTCTGGGCAATTCTGTGATTCTGTGTTTTTATTGACTGCGATCATGTCATCCCCCAAATTGTAAATAACCCTCCTATGCTTTATTTTTTTAATTTTTTTTTTTTTTTTTTAAAGGGGAGGGACTCAGGGTGTTGGAGAAATACACACAGATCCAGCAGAGAGGGGGAGCCACAAGGTAGGGCAGACAGCTGGGGGCAGGAGGAGATGCTGGGCTCTTCCGTCAGATGGAAGCGCCAGTTCAATATCGGTCTAAAGCACTTGTTGGAACTACGCTGTGTATTTCTTGAAATGGTTTCTATTTGCTGTGCTCTCAGAGTGCTTTTAAATTTAACCCACTTTTTTTCCCCTGTATGACAGCCAAGCCTATTTCTCATACATATTTATATTGTAAATACTCTTCCTCAAGAGTAAGTTTCAAGTCTTTGGCCCTGAAATACAAGTAAATGCTGACAGTTTTCCTTTGTAGTGAGCTTTCCACTTGTCTCTCGCCGCAGAAAACTCCCACATCTTAAGCTGTGAATCTCTGCTGAGCTGCAGCCTTTAGTTCTGCTGTGCATCAATTTTTTACTACTGTTAACAATCAGGTATGGAAGCTGTTCTGAGGAGGAGGATTGAAACAGAGGGTGCCGAGAGACAGAGGAGAAAGCTCACCCTCACAGCAAGGTGTCTGTGGCACCTGGAATATTGATTCAGTGCATTTTATCGAACTGGGTGGTTTGCTGAGTAGATAGGATAGCCTACAAATGTTATTCTAGTGCTCTTTTAATTCTGTGTGTATGTGGTGAGCAGTCGTGCCTCTTGCGTTGAAATGTGGTGTGCTACCTTGTGTTGTGTAGCCTCATATGGAATGTGATAAAAAAAAAAAACAAAAACAAATTAAAATCTGGCTTTCCTAATCTTCTAGATCTTGGGGAAATCTATTCAAGACTACTGGACCACAGACCCGTAATTCAGGGAGAAATACGTTACTTTGTTAAAGAATTTGAAGTAAGTATTTGTTATGTTATTGGGTGCTGTCACCTTCAGAGTCTGAGACTGTAAACAGTTTCAACATCTTTTTAGAGATTATAATAAGTATGTAATTTTCTTCAGAAAGACTTAACATGTATTTCTTGTCCAAAATAACTAACAGACTGATAGTATATGTCTGCATCTTTAGTAAACAACACAGTAATTTAGGTCTTTTTATTTAAAACATTTTGAAAGGATCATAAATATTCTTCCTGCAAAAGACTGGTGGGAATATTCATGTAGGAAAATGATATATGTTGATATCCTAGAGAAGTCTTGTTGGTTCCAAAAAAAACTGTTGGCTAGTATAGGTTTGCATCTAACTAAGAAACTGGTTTGTGCCTCAGGTGGATTAAGCTAGCACAGTTGTAATTTAATTTTTCTTTAATTTTTGTTCCACAAAATAAAGTAATATTTGCAAAGTAAGAAAATAATTAAAAATGGAATGAATGTTATCGGATTGACTGCAAATAAGGCTGAAGTACTGAAGGTGAAAAAGTTTTTATACAACTTTACTTGGAAAGTGGAACACAGATTCCACAAGATGGCAGCAAAAGTGTAGAAAAGTAGAATCTTGACTCAACAAAAGGCTATTTATTGGGTAGATTTTAATTTTTAAAGAACGTAGGATTTAAAAATCTTAAAATTAGTCCTGAAAATATAGTTATAACTCAAAGTTCTACTGTGCAGAGCTGATTTAAATTAAAAAAAAAACAACAATTAAAACGTTTTCCCCTGCCATTGTAGCTGATATTTCAACCAGGTCTAATTTGTCTCTGCACTGGTTTAGCAAAATAAGGATGGAAACTAAACCCTCATTATGTGTATCTTATGGGTTTGAGAGTCATAAGGAATTATTTCTTTTCTTTGCCTTCCCTAAAGACATTATACAATACAGTAAATAGTTTTACATGGCTTTTCTTAGGAAGGAAAATGTTAAACTCGATTACAAAATTATAACTCATATCTTTATAATTATGATTAATTTATTTTTGTTATTGCACTGAAGCTTTGTTCTATTTCCTAGACAAATTTTGTATATTCTTAGATCTTTTCTTGAAATTTAATATCTGCCTTATACTTTCAGGGGAAAAACAGCAGAACAGAGAATTATTTACAGTTTTGCAACTTGAATTTCTTCCAATAATTGCATTTGTTTTTAACTTGGAGATATCAGAGTCTTTTTGGTTGTAGTAGGACATAAGCTGCTTCTTTCAATGATTAACATCTAGTGTATAAAGAATGTAGATCTGCATTCAGGAAGTCTGGAACCTGTTTAATTAAGCAACATAACTTGTCTGTGCCTGTGTTTCTGAAGTTTTAAAATGAATATGGTGATCATTGCCCCCTTCATGTGATGAAGTATTTCTTGATTATCTAGGATTGCTTTCTGACTAGCAATTTTCAGTACAGGAATGCTCGTGTGCAACTCTTATAACTTGGAAAAGGCGAAAAAGCGGGAAGGGGGCAGGCAACAGCCTGGAGCAGATTTCAGGATCCTTTTCTTTGCCTAGAGGAAAGTGCAGGTGGAATTCAGAGTGGGAGTAGTGCTGTGGCTTCAGAAAAAATAGATTATTTTTTAACTTTAAAAAAAAAAAGTAAGCAATAAAGCAGGAGCTTGTTCTTGTAGTTCATCATGATCAGCAGTGAGCCAGAAGAAGGGATGCCTCTTTAGTCAGCTGTGTTATGTCATTTTTTTTTAAATCTTTACTTCAGTAAAAACAATTTTACTGGCACTGTTTTAATGCTGTACCATGCTAAATCTGGAAGGTCAGACATCAAGTAAGCAAAATCACTGCTGTGTTATTTCCCTAACAATTGAGTTAAAAAATTGTATTGCTTTCAAGCTCTGTTTTTCTCTGGAGTTTTTTTATATACTATAAATGATCTATACAAAACAACACATTTTTCCAGACCATGTTTTCATTAGTAAATACTAACTTTTCTCCCTAGAACCAGAAGTGTCATTCAGAGTATTCCTGTATTCTAGTGTGAAGAGTGGAGCATTACTCTCTGTTTTCACAGAAGTAATTTTATCACCAATAAACAATAAACAGGGGTATAATCTTGAGATAAAGCCATCAGTTTATCAACTGGGAAACCATCTTATTTTGGAAAGTAGAATTCCTTGTTAACTATTAATTTTCTTTTGATTCTTCTGGCAGGAAAAACGTGGCCTCCGAGAACTGCGAGTCCTTGAAAACCTGAAGAACACAACCTTTGAGGCAAAGGAGCACGTTCTCCCGACGTGTGAGCGGGCGATGCCTGACGGTTTGAATGAAGCACTCAGGAGATGTAAGCGCGTCGCTTCTTGTTTCCCTTCTTCTGTCATTTTGAGGAGTTATTTAGTTTGGTTTCAAAATATGATTTGTGGAAAAATTAACATCCTTGGATAAATTTTCTACCATTTATGTGCTTTGTTCTCATTTCTGTGACATTTTTAAAGGGAAACAACATGGATTTTTTTTATATATATTTGTTGGTCCAGTCAACACAGCTCTTGCTAAGGTTACATTAAAGCTTTTTATGGATTTAAGTAGAAGCTACTTCAGCTCAATCTTTTACCATTCACTTTAGAAACGGGGTAGTGCTCCATGTTGCCTAAAGCCAGGGACAAAATTCCAGGTTTCTGGTTTGTTGCAAGTGTGCTGTGGTGTGACCTTCAAGTTTCTTCATTTTCCCACAGGAGAGCATAACTGCCCCTCATTATTTAAAACAGAACTTGCTACTATTTAGCTATGAAATGTGCTATTATTTTTATTTTTAGTCACAAATAAGGTAGTAGTAATAATTGTTGTATGCTAATCCTAGTTTCATCATTATAACCATCTAATAAATATTTTTTAATTGCTTGGATTTGAAAGGAAAGTTTAAAATTTGTTGCACTAATTTTTCAGTATCTCTTTTTTTTTTCTTACTCATTCAGCATTTTTAGCTTCTCAAAAGGATATTTCAACGGAGTGTGGCTGTATAGCTTTAGCTGCCAGATTTCTGCAGTTGAAACATGCCAGTGTGAGATTTGTTATATTTTATGTATAGCATGTTGCATAAGCATTTAATTTCATATAACTTATTTCTGTGGTATCTGGCAGAATAACAAATGGTAGATGATGCTTTAGACATAAAATGATGGCAGGAAAATATTTGAAACTTAAAATTTAGTCATGCAAATAAGGCATATGTTGTAATACCTTCTGAATGGAGTGGGGGTTATTACTCCCTGACTTTCTAATGGTCAGCTGTGCAATACGTCATTAGTAGTAGAATCACAGAATGGTTGAGGTGGGAAGGGACCTCTGGAGATCATTTTGTCCAACCTCACTGAGCAAGCAAGGGCAGCTAGAGTCACTTGCCCAGGGCTATGTCCAGTCAGGTTTTGAGTATCCCTGCAGATGGAGGCTCCACAACCTTTCTGGGCAGCCTGTGCCAGTGTTTGACCACTCTCACTGGAAAAAAACCCCAACATTTTCTTGTGTTCAGGTGGAATCTCATGTGTTTCAGTTCGTACCCACCACCTCTTGTCCTAACAGTAAGCACTACAGTGAAGAGTCTGGCTCCCTCATCTTCATTCCCTTCCATCAGATGTTTATTCACATTGATGAGATCCTCCCTGGGCCTTCTTTTCTCTAGACTGAACAGTCTGAGCTATCTCACCCTCTCTTCATATGAAAGACACTCCAGTCCCTTAACCATCTTTGTGTCCATGTACTGGACTTGCTCCAGTAAGTCCATCTCTTTCATTTACTAGGGAGCCCAGAAGTGGGCACACTACCACAGCTCTGTCCTCACCAACACTGAGCAGAGAAGGGATCACCTCCTTTAACCTGTCAGCAGTTCTCCTGATGCAGCCCAGGATGCTGCTGACCTTCTGTTTTTGCTGCAAGGCTGTCTTGTTGATCCTCAGTGTGTATTGCTCCCTGGGATTGTTCCTCCCCAGATGCAGGACTTATCATTTCCCCATGTTGAACTTCATGAGATTGCTCTTGGCCCAGTTTCCAGTTGCTCACAGTCCCTCTGAGTGGCAGCACAACCATACAACCTGTCAGCCACTCCTTCTGGTTTTGTACCCTCTGCAAACTTGCTGAGGGCGTGCTCTGCTCCAGCACCTGGAGCACCCAGCACCTGGGTCACTGATGAAGAAGTTAAACAGCATCAGCCACAGTGCTGACCCCTGGGGTAACTACTAGTGACTTACCTCCAACTTGACTTTGTGCTGCTGCAATTCATGGTGCTCCCAGCTCCTCATCAGCTTCCAGGGCAGTGAACCTGGTCTGTAACTGGAAGCCCTCAGGGGAGCAGGGCCTGTCTCCTGGTGTAAAAAGTCAGCAGCTTTAAGATGATGATAAATAAGGTATTTCTCACTACTAGGATGTTTTAGTGGGAGAAATGACTGATTTTGGGAAATTATTTTATTTAATTCTGCATTAATTAAGTGTTAAATAAGTTAGGAAAAAAACCCGCGTAGGAATACAGTTCCTATTTCCATTGACAAGTTTTTCTGGGCTTAGTCTCATGAGAGAAGAGCTGGCTCCAGCATAAAGAGCTGTTTCTTCTGTATTCTTCTAAATACATGTTCTTCATGTAGATTGTTTATGCTAAATCACTTTTTACATTTGATGGGGAAAAATAAGGGGGGGAAAAAACCAAACCAACAACTAAAAAATAGAGAGTGGTCACCTGTTTCTACTCACTGACTTGAGAGTTTCTTTGATGTCTTCTGAGGTGCTGAGTCATGTTCTCTAGCTCGTCAGCAACGCTAAGGAACATGGGCACCAGAGGACCTAGCTGCCTTTCTCTTTTTGGCATCTGGAGCACCCAAGGGTTGAACTCGGTGATAGTCATCAATGTAAAGCATTTTCTGCAAGTACTGACAAGTCTTTTTTTGTGCAAAGTAAAGTGACACAGTGGAATATAATATTTGACTTGCAACAGCCCCATGTCTTTTAAATCCCTTTCAGATGAGTTTCTCTTTGATTTTGAGCAGCAGGCTGATCTACTGCAATTTGTTATTTCAGTGCAAGCTGCCAACGATATGATCCATCGACTCCAAGAGAGGGAGCATGAAGAGAGGAAGGTAAAGGATGGCTGGGTACAATTTTTTATAACATGACCTAAGTAAGAGCCTTGTGCTTCTACAGCAAGTCTACATGCCTTCAGTATGGCACATACTTTTCTGTACTTTATATACTTGCAGTAAAACTTATTTTGGGGTGATTTCTGCACTTATAAAATGGAAACTGCAGCAACATGTATGTTCTAGGACTGCAAAATTAATGGATCAGTAGCTCTTCCTACAATCTCCTGATGTATGGAAACTATTTTTTTATTATTATTTCCTTTGCTTTATTTTCCCTCCTAGCTCAGACTCTAATATTTGTCACATACAGGGAAAGCTTAAGTATAAAAAATATAT